AAAAATGCATTAAACATACCAAGTTTAAATAAAGAATAGACTGGCCTTTCTCAACCTTTTTAGCCCTGAGGAAGGCTTGAAATATATTTTCAGGGAACTTCTGCTAAAAAGAATGATACCTACAGTTCGGGGTACATTATCATGATCAATATCATGTTCAGAGTAGATGGGAACATTCACCAATGGAATCTTTATCTTAATCTAAGGCTATCATCAGGTGAGACATTCCACCACAGCCCCCTTTGGACTATACTTGCTGAGAGGTATTTTTCTATGTAGATGGAAGATCAACCAAGAATTGCTCATTGCTGAAGGAACCCCTAGCAACCTCAGGAGGAACCCTAGAGTACCATCAAACCCTGATTGAGAAACACTGCCTTAGACCCTAAAATATACCTAAACATTTCAAGCAGCATGTTAGTTCCTTCTGCTGTCCTTTGAGAGCTATACTTTAATAAATGAGGACCCTACCAGTAAAAATATCATCCCTTCAGATCTGTATGCTCCTATGGTAAGCTTGAAAATTGGCCAGCCGGTACAAATGAGGTGCATGCAGATTTAACACCTTAATTAATATAATACTGGAAAACTCTGTGGCCTCACCACCCTGCCTCCCTCAACATATGCCAATATTTCATTCTTGTAAAGAAAATATTTCTTCTAACACCTGTAATAAATCAGTCACCGCTTCAGTAAGAAATGCGGATGATGTATTAGTTATACTGATTAGCAGAAACAGATGTGAAGGTTTGACTTAGTAAATAAAATGTGGTTGGCATATAAGTTGAGGGATGTACAGTTAATTTACTGAAGGATTGATGGTCCTCTGTATTTTTTATAAAACATTTATGGAGTACCTACAACAAATACATCATATAACGAGACTTACCAGGCATTGCCCATTGATGCAAATGCCATCATACTCCACATGGCATGATGTTCCATCCAACACTCTGCCAAAATTATAATAGAAGTTTTGCCCTTGTGCCAAGCAACTTAGCGCACAGTCTCCTTGTCCTTAACAAGAAACAAACAGTCAGAGCGGATTTTCACATGTTATTGCCTGAGATTATGAAGTTGGAAAGCAGAAACACATCACTTTGCAATATGCTAAATATTTTTACAATGGATCTGCTAAACCCTGAACATGGCACCAGCTAGTCCAGTAGCATAAGTCCTCTTCTGAGCCTTTAATTTCACATAATTTGCCTTTTTATTGATGTGTAAAAAAAAAAAAATGTCACTTGCTACTTTGCTTTGAACTGCTATTAAGATTTTTTTGCCTGCAGTATAAAACCTTTTCCGGCTTGGAATTACACAATTATCCACGGCTCCATGAGCTCCGGGGTTAATGTAGGGACCTACAGTGCTTTTAGGATATGGTACAAAACATCTTCATGCTACTTTGACCTCACTTATAGATCTTTAGTAAGATCTCATTTAGAATACTATGTCATGTTCTGGAGACCTCACTTACGAAAAGATACTGATAAGATAGAACGAGTCAGAGACGGGTAACAAAAATGGTGAAAGGTCTGAGGGATAAAATATATCAGAAGAGACTTCAGGAACTTAATATGTACAGTCTGGAGGAAGGGAATGGGGAGACATGAGTGAAACCTTTGAATACATCAAGGAGGTGAATAAGGTTCAGGAAGATAGTATTGTCAATATGAAACCAAAATCAAAAGCATAGGGACATGACCTCAAACTAGCAAGAGAAAAGTTCAAAACTAATCTTAGAAAGAATTATTTTACTGAAACGGTAGTTGATGTTTGGATTAAACGTCCAGCAGGAAGAGAGTTAGTCAACAGTAAGTGGCTTCAACCATGTTTGAGGCAAACATAGATCTATACTCAGACAAAAAAGTTTTTGTTCACTCAATTTTTAGAACCAATAAGACCCAACATGTTCATGCTGTGAGACACGTGACAGTACTAGATACCAAAAAAAGTGTGTTCATGGTTACACTTGGGCCTATGCTAAGATTTTGAAGCATCAAATGTAACCTGTGCCTGAAATATCATTGATCAAGAACAGTAATGATAGTAATACTTTGGGTCCTGAAGTAAGGGGCAAAAGAGACATTTTGCACAGCTATTATTATTATTATACAGGATTTATATAGCGCCAACAGTTTGCTCAGCGCTTTACAATATAACGGGAGACAATACAGCAACAATACAGTTCAATACAAGAGGGATAGGAGGGCCCTGCTGCTTGGAGCTTACAATCTAGGAGGGAGGGGCTAGTGGTACAAAAAGGTAATAACTGTGGGGATGGACTGGTTGGAAGAGTAGAAGATTCCATTATTAGCTGAGGGCAGGATAGGCTTCCCTGAAAAGATAGGTTTTCAGAGATCGCCTAAAAGTGAGCAGCATAGGCGATCGTCTGATAAATTGGGGTAGAGAGTTCCAGAGGGTGGGGGAAGCTCTGGAGAAGTCCTGGAGACAAGCATGGGAGGAGGAGACAAGGGAGCTAGAGAGCAGGTCTTGCGAGGAGCAGAGAGTACGGTTTGAGTGATATTTAGAGACAAGATCGGTGATGTAATTTGGGGCAGAGTTATAAATGTCTTTGAATGAGGAAAGAACAAACAGAGGGCGCACAGGCCTAGTGCATTACCATAAAAAATGTTTAATAAGAAACAAAGTAGGTGTTGTACTCACAAACGACAATAAAGTCAAGGCACATCATTGTCGTTTGTGAGAACAACACCTACTTTATTTCTTATTAAACATTTTTTATGGCAATGCACTAGGCCTGTGCGCCCTCTCTTTGTTCTTTCCTCATTCAGTATATTTGTATTCCCCCGGTCTGTTGAGGGCAGCAAGGTGTTCATGTTCCAGGACATTCTTAATGTGGTTGTAGCCTGCATCGAGTCCATCCCCAAGCCCAGGAGCATTTGTGTTGGTTCTTTATAAATGGCTTTATATCAATCAATCTATTGACAACAATGCCGAGACACTTGCAAAAGCTTTGGTCACATCTAATTCTTCATATCCCACATCAGCAGGGCCATTGAGAATGCAGAAATTTACTCTTGTAGTCTGTGCTACTTACAGTGAGCACTGGTCTCCTCCGATTTCTGCTCAAATTACTTACCTTCTAAATACTTAAATCTCCACATCTAAGTGGAGGTATACCTTTTTACACCAATTTCATTCCTGATCTGTTATCATCTAAAAATCACATAATCAAAAGTCAACAAACCCCAAGGGATTTTAAATGTTGCAAATGTTATCATTACAATATTCAATGTTCATTTCATCCCCAATAAAAGACACAAATGAGCTCCACATTATTTTAAAACCGAATACATGGGTATATCAACTGCAGATTACATATATAGTACACTATAGTCATGTTTTTATTGCTGTTCATCACTGACAGCTTTCAGTATTCATATCTTGTTGTCCACACATTAGGAAACCGCTTCCTAAGGACAGAGGTATTTGGATGTATATCCTCAAATAACAAATGCTACATTTAAAACCCCATGGGGTTTGTTGACTTTTGAGTACCTTCTGTATACTGAACACAGTCGTACAACCATGTACAGAACAACTTTGTTTTTTTCATACACAACCTTCTCTGATTGGAAGGAGGAGAGGCGACATCAAGATGATCACCTAGTCCATTCAGAGAATGTCTACTATTCTTTGAGAAAAATACCATTACTTTGAGAAAAATACTATTCTTTGAGAAAAATACTATTCTTTGAGAAAGACCTATCTGAATTGTGGAGGTGCCACGCAAGTGCCCCACTGTGTTCAGCTTACAGAAGGCAATTTGCTCAAGCAGCCCCTGGAAGAGATCACTGCTTGTATGTATCACAGACTGTTACACTGAATTTCTGCATCCCCAGCATCTCTCTGGATGTGAGCTATGAAGAATTCCATGTAACCAAGCTGGATCATCAATCAATATAACTCTTGGAGTTACACTTTAACCATAAAACACAAAAGTTGTCCTATTTAAATTTTTCCTGCTTTTTTTTTGTCCAATTTAGTAAACAGCATTTCATTCATTTTATTATCATTATTATTCATTTTATTTTTATATTGAATTTTTTATTATTTTATTTATTATTTATTGAATGATTTATTATTTAGCCTATCCAACAAATATAAAAGATACATTATTTACCTGATTGGAAAGGGGTCCATTTGTAATAATTTCCCATTAAAGGCTTACTGTTGTATGCAGAACATTGGAAATGCCTGAAATCAGCTACCCCTGATGGACAGTCCTGCATAGGAAGAAATTGGTCACTGACTGTTAATCTGCCTTAGAGATCTTAGCGAGCACAGGATAGGAACCTTAGAAACTTACCTTCATGTTACATGCTTGGTACTGTCTTATGTCTCCCAGGCAGTCTGGTCCTGCAGCATCTCTATGGAGAAACAGCACAGATTATGAATGAAAGCAGCAAGGGTTAACTTTGTAACCAGAAACCAATATGACATTATCTCGTTACAGAAATACATCTGAAGATTTGAGAACAGACATACAAATTCTTCCGCTGACAACTTAGCAGGAAAGGACATGTTTTCAGCATATAAATAAGAGGCGTCATAACAAAGATAGCCGTCTTAAATAATGAGTTTGTCTTACAAAGAGCACATAGTTTGGCTGTGTAAGATAAAAGATGTTTCTTATATTGCATAATGAAAGCCTATAAACAATCCTAAGGCACGCATCATAAAATTACACCCAATCATATACTTAGGGGTTATGACGTATCCTATAAGCACTTAAGCCCCCAAACACCAATGGGCTTATTTAAAAACGAAAAAGAACAACGTGTAAAAGGTAATAACCGAAAACAACTAATTAGATTTTCATTTCATTAGGGCAGAGCCAATAGTGGGAAGAATGATTGCTGTTGATTATTATGGGCCATTCTGTTCTTGTACTTCTATGCAGGGGCGGACTGACCATTTGGAAACTCGGGCACTGCCCGTGGTCAGTAGGGGGCCCCATGAGATGCCCCTGGTACCTTTTTCATAGGCTTTTTTGAGTTTGGGCAAGGACACAGGGGCCCCATGATCCCCTATTGCCCGGGGGCCCCATGAGTTGTCAGTCCGCCCCTGCTTCTATGTATAATAATGATTAATGCATATACTGTATTAAATTGGGTTCTAGTAGGCTTTGAAAATCAGTTAACTGAAAGAATTACTTGTTGTAAACCCGCATAGTCTTTACTAAAAATATTAGAAATAGAGCTGATTCCAACATTTAGATTTCGTAAAGATTCTGACCTAATTTCATGAATTCGGAGGACTTGAGTCTAATCCAAATCTCAATGTTATCATTGATAGTTTGGATTCCCAAAATGTTTTCAGGATATGAGGACCCAAGGCTGCATCTGCCTTATATCTGCAGCTGTTTTGACACCCTTAACTTGACCTGCAATGACACTAGGACCTGAGTGTTTCAGGCTGTTTTGTAGTCCCATCTTCTCATCAGGTAGGGTTGCCAGAAGCTCCTCAAACCATCCTCAACATTTTTTCATTATTTGTTGTTCTGTAATGCCAGCCACTCATTGATCAAAATTCATATGGTTCAACAGGGACCAGATGAAATGTGTGCCATGTTTGGGCACCTTGGTTGTACAGAAGTCAATCTATAGGTTAACTTCTGTACAACCTTTTGGATGTTTCCCAATTGATCAGTACCCCAATCTATAGCCGGCAACACTGATCAGTGTGTCCTGACAGTGGGGAAAGACCCCACCGTCAAAACACAAAAGCACAGTGGGAGGGGTTCCCACATCTACCTGGAATGTGTGGATGGGGGAACTGTTTTTTTTTGTTTTGTTTTTCAACTCACTGGTTGAAGAAAAAAACAATGATGAATCTATGGGCTGCCTAACACACTTTTCTGGAACCTGATTATAATTGACTTTAATGGGTCTTCAAGTACAGAAATTTCAAATTTCAGAGGGTTCCAAATTATTTGAAACGGTTGGTCTTTTCATAATCTTAACTGATCAAACTTTTTAAAAATTCATTCACCTCTACAGTCAGAACTGCAACAAACTCTAAAAACTAGACCAAAGGAGCTCCACTTTTGTTATCATTCTGAGTATTAAAGGCATTACCTCATATTCCGAGATTATATACCACAGGGCTTAAAATTTCTAGTCCTGAGCTACTGGCCAGGCCTTAAGAGTTACTCGCCACCAACAAACACACACAAACAGAGACACATGTACACACACAGGCATGTACAGACATGCATACACACAGATACATGTACATACACAGAAATACACACACACACACACACACACACACACGTACATACACACAGACACATGTACATACATACAGACACATGTACGTACATACACACACGTACATGCACACACGCAGACACATGTACAGATACACACATGTACACGTACACACACACACACAGCCCTATAAAAAGTTTCAGTACTTTGTTGTTCACTCACAGAGCCGGGTACTGCACTGTAGGGGGAGGCAGAGAGCACAGCACACACTCTTTCCTTTGCTTTCACTGAGCTCAGCTATTGAGCAGTCTGACGGCTCCCAGTGCCAATGACAGATCTGGCCTGAGCTCCAAGCCTGCTCAGCAAGACGGCCCTGGGGGCACACACGGCCCCACCATAATTTCCACTCACCATTGGTGAGCAGGCGAGTGGAAATTTCAAGACCTGCCGTATATACAATATATATTTTATAAACAGAACCATCCTAAATAATTTTGCTTTTCAAGAAGAAGAGGTTCCCAAAAATTGCATCTGGTGTACTAACCTTTCATTTGTATGCACAGACTCAAACCCCAGTAAACTTTTCTATTATTACCCACGTTTCTAGAAACTTCATTAAAAAATGTCTTCCTGTGTTGGTCATCATATACTTATACCTTACAATACACTGCCGTGTGCGCACTGCAGCTCCCCCTCCACATGTCCGAGAACAGGGAGACCAGCTTTGCCATGAACCCCACTCATTACTGGACCTCTGTGGTAGACTATGTTCAGGGCCAAAATTGATGACCGTTCCCCTGTGAAACAATGGCCTTTGAACCTACAAAAACAAAACAAAAGTGAGTAAAGCTGCATTCAACTTATAAGATAACCATTTACATTTATGATGGTAGAACACGAAATGTCATTTGGAATCTGGATTCTACCATTTATAATCAAAGGAAACTTCTGCCTGCAGAAAATAATAAACAGTCCAAACATGATTTATATTTGTAGTGGCTTCTTCTCGCAGCTTTCTCTCATTATGTAACAGTAGTAAAGGGTATATAGCCTGAGGGTCTGCAGTAGACCCAGCATTGAATGAGGCCAATGGTGTTTACATATATACTTAGCATTGTGAACATAAGTATGGTCTGCCAGTTCCATCATTCATTTTGTGAAGAGAGTACAGCCTTATTACAAGAGAAAACAACACTCGTCTTGTGTTTCCAAACCTTGTAAAACATGGATTTTCAGGATGACAAGCCAACAATAAAAACAGCGTGTTGGGACAATGAAATAGTGGCAGAAAATGAATGAGGTGGTAACATCAGCTTTATGCACCAGTGACATGGAAATCAGTCTGCGCTGTGACAGTTCAACAATACGCTCTGAGTGCCACAACCTACAAAAGGGATACAGAGAACCTGGCAGCAGATAATACCCACCTGGCCAGTGTAATATATATAAATATATATTCCAAATAATGACATTATAATGCCCCTCTGTGATATTCTGTAGAGAGGGGACAAAAAGGACCTAAAAGCACCTATTCTGTTAACTGGCATTTCTGTTCAGAGAAAAACAAACCAGAAGAATTTTTTTGTTGTTGTTTTAAGAATTAAAATCTTTGGAGGTTTTCAAATACTACTTTTGTATGAATGTATATGCTCATATTACAAACCAATTGTTAGTCAATGGAAAAGAAAAGCAAGGTACCTGTGTGGCATTATTCTGATTTCAGAGTAAAAGAGGGATAGTATAGCAGCTAATACATCTTCATTATTTCTTTCATGTACTGTAGAACCCAGACCACACAGCTGCAATAAAAGAGGGTGTATGACGACTGCACACGCAGAGAGATGCTATTGATAACCATTTGCAGAAGTCTTTCCTCCCTATACTCAGGGCAGCTGGTAAATTTAAAATAGACAAATGCATTCTGTCATTGCCACCATTAAGTCCATATTTGGCCACAATCCAGGGATAATGAGACTTAACAAAGATTATAATGCAGTGAAACATCCAAGAACAAGTGGCAATGAGTTTGGAGTAAAGCCAGCCATAGACGGTTCAAATCTCAGGCGGTTCAGCAGGAACTTGTCGAGAGTCAAACCATGTATGAGCAGGCTGAATGTACAAAAGTTGATCAATCGATCACCTTGGGTACAACCAGAATGTCAGATTTTACATGCAACTATTGCTAGGGGCTATTATAGCCGCTAGCAGTAATCACTGTGTTCTCCCGGCAGAGATGGCGCCCCCCCCCCCCCCCCCCCCCCCACCGGGAGAACACAATGGCTCCACAGGAAAGAAAATTGCTCCATCTTTGGCCAGCTTTAAAAAAGGCTTTTGTAGCCATCTGTAGCACCCTCCTAGTTAGGTTGCTAGGTTGGTTAGGTAAATTTAGTTATTTTGGTTTCTCTGTAATGAGTACAGCAGAGTGTGATGTTCTGGACTTCACTGGTTGTATGTTTGATTGTTTCCCTCTGTCTTCTGTAATGGGCTGGAAATCAGCAGCCTGAATATTTATGTTGCCTCAGCCAATCCCTGGTGGGAGGGTGCCCAGTAGGTGGTTTGGAGTCCATAAACAGTCTGGGTCTGGAGCTGCCCTGTCTTGTCCAGGAGGAGAAGTTCCCAGCCTGAATTGATGCTGCTCTTCTAGGCAGCCCATCTGAAGTTCGACATATGCTCATCGAGGTCCCAGCCATGCTAGATCTGGGGGGGGTGGGGGTCTGTTTTGCTGAGAATTTCTGGAACTAAGAGATTTCAATGAGGATCTGGTCTGGGAGTTCACCCCCAAGAAAAATGTCTAGCTGATATTGGAAGAAGGCATCCAAGTATCCAGGGACAGTGTGGGTACAGATATGAGTGTGGGATCCTAGTAACGGTTTGCTGCTACTATGCCTTGTGCATCAGTGCCAGTGCTTGCTTGGACTGGTACATTTCTAATGGTGTCTCAGTGTTCTTCATTCCCTTGGCTGTTACTAAAGGGGCTGTATTAAAAAGCTTTGACAAAGTGAAGAGTGTCCTCTTATTACCTCACAGTGTTGCTGAAGTATCCCAAAGCTCACTGCATCCCATCCAAGTTTATTCAGCAATAAATCTGAAAAAAGACAACTCCTAGACTGTCCATTGAGCCAGAAAAAGTGACTGTTGCTGTGTGCCTGGCTGCCGCTGCAGTAACTTGGGAGGGCAAACTGTAGCTAATCAGCAGGTCCTTTCGGGGGTGAGCACTACACATCTTAAAAGAGCTCCAGCACGAACAGAACACTTTAGTGGGTTTCCTACAGTGTATCCAAACTGAAAACTTTTTTTTTTTGGATAGAGTGGTGAGAGGTTAGAACCCCTGTTTTTTTTATTGCCGCTTGTGTGTCCATTGGATGGACAGCCATTAAGGAAGCTCATTTTCCCAGGACCCTGAATTGACCGGCTCCACAAAATTCGTCCCCTCGTACAGTTGTGTTCAAAATAATAGCTGTGTGTTGAAAAAAGTGAATAAAGCTCAAATCCTTCTAATAGCTTTTATTTCCATACACACAAATGCATTGGGAACACTACACATTCTATTCCAAATCAAAACATGAAGAAAAATATATCAACTTTGTGTTGTTCCTCTAAACAAATTGAAGAAAAGTGAACACTTTTCAACAAATTTTTATTTTTTGCCAGTTTTGGAAACAAAAGGATCCATTTCTTAATGAATTTCACATTCTGAGTTCAAATATAACAATGAAATTTGTCAATTGGCTCTAGTTTTTCTGTAAACGGAAAGTTTTCTACTATAGGCGTAATGACTACATAATGCACAATAATTATATAGATAGATGTCTTTTCACAAATATAAAGCAAGTGATATTGACTACATAACAAAGCCTAAATGGCATAATATA